GTTATTTTAGATATTTATTTGTATAGAAAAATTCTCCCAAGAGCTCCATGAATCATGTCCTTTTTTACGTCAAACAAAACTGAATCGTCTTCGGAATTTGGAAACTGCAGAAATTATGCTGTCAACATGAGTCAAATGAACGTTTTCTTTTTACCAAACCAACATATGTGCTTGTGGTAGCACTCTTTTTTGCCATTCAATTGAATACATCAACAGCACGTTTCACCATAGAACATTTTATTATCACATCAATTAAGTTGACGTGCTTTTGTTTGAACGATTGTGCTTTCAAATCAAAGCGATCAATGAGAGATTGTCCAGTGAAAACTTCCCCCTTAATGTCAGGCCACGATGGATAGATTACGTATGAAGGTTATAGTTTGCCTACTAATTATAATGTTTTAAAAATAAAATACTTCTGATTTCTTAAAATGTTATTTATTTTTTGAAACTGTTAAAATAGTAACAATGGTAACATATTCATTTTATTATGTAATCAAGCCCCTGTAACAGGACTAACTTTAATGGTAATAAAATTGTTAATCGATAAATCCCGAGATGTATTTTAATCCATTGTGACCGAGATAAAAATGAAATTACCTCGCTTGAATTCCACTAGGGGTCGTAATTTTCTATGAATGGCGAACTTTTTGGGCGAATTTTTCTATTTTACCACTAATAATTATGGGCGATGATCACTAATAATCATTATTAGAGTATTATACATAGAAAAAATAAGTTTTTTGTATTANCCGTGCTGCAATTTATTATCATATTTTTAATTTATTTAATTTAAAATGTATATGCTCTCCATCTGAAATTAGTACCGTAGTGTCTTGCCCCTGTAGCTCATACTTCTCCGTTAGCAATAGAGTCGTGCCGGACAACTATTAACTGCTTTCAGGGGAAACGATTTAAACTGAAATAACGTGATTTCCGTTTTGCTTAGAAGTTCCTGTATCGTCAATCGGGCCTCCTGTCCCTATGGTTTTCATATGTGATCTCGGATTTTATCTACCTAACTCCGTTCTCGAAATTAAGGACAATGGGAATTTATACGTCTACAATTTTTTTCAAATTGCAGCCCAATAAAACAAGGAAACGTCTGTTGCGAGTTGTTACTTCGTCAATTATAGAACTATTTCGTCATCATGAATTTGTTTTTGTAGTTTATTGAAATAATTACATATTAACGACTTTATAATTGTAATTTATAGTGAAGAATTTATCTAATAATTACATATTTATTTTTAACGATTGTGGAAAATCTAGTGTTTTTTTCAGTGATTTTATAATCTTTGTGAACAGTTTATTTTTATTCTTTAATGGTTTTTCTCCGAAATTCAAGTTTAATTTCATTTCATTTAAAACTTCTTTTAGTCTTCAGATTAATTGTTTTCTTGACTTAAGGAAGTTTTTATTTTCTAGATCGCACTTTTTAGTATAACGAAAATTTCGGATAATTTGCTATTTATAAAATTAAACTTTAAAATAAAAGGGATAACACATACGAAATTGGAATAAAGAATTTTCAATCGCTGTTTATACACATTTATATTTGGTATATCCAAATATATTCAAAATTAAAGACAATATCAATTTAGGATAGTAACTTAAAATTATTTCAGTTTTTAAACATAATCATTATATGAAGTTATGAGACATTCGAAGTATCGCCTCTTGGTTTTGATGACCAAAAATATTTTATCACGAAACAGGCTAGTATCATGAAAACTAAAGCAAAAACAAACAAACAATTTCACTTCACATATTTTTACATTATTATGTCAATTAAGTAAACTGCAAATTACATAACATAAGAATATATAAAAAATTTTTTAAACCAAGTTATTAGTTTTAAAATAATTGAGCATATCATTCTAATGATATTTTGTTATTTTATGTATAATGCCAATGATTAAGGCCCAGATAGGCTAATTATGCTGTTAAAAATCGAAAATACGAGCTTAAAATATTCCCTAGAACCGTGAAAATATTCTCCAAAAAATTGATAAGCTGAAATGTGTTTTGATTAATTTTTTCCCTCATATTGGTTTAGTTACAAAATCAATTACATAAAATATAATTTTCTCTGGTTGCAATGCGTACCAAAATATTGCTTTAATAGCTCAGTTTGCTCTGTTTCTGCACAATAGTACAGCATCGCGGAAAAAGAAACTTTTTTCCACGTCACAAGAAGTAACAGGAGCAAAAAGAAATGAAGCTACTTCCGTAGGTGAAAGAGAAATAGCGAAGTCTCCTTTTCCATTTCTTAAGATTTTGGCTAGCCCCATATATTTTTATCCTTTAATTTTTATTTAGAACAAATTCAAATTTTTCGTGTATCTTTTTAGCTACTGTTCCTTGAATTCCGCCGTATCTCTTTTACGCTTTCAATTAAACTGACAGCAGTACAGAATGACATCCTTTCTTCCATTGTTATAACATTTTCGAGAAATTAAAAATTTGCTTGATGAAAGCTAATTCGTGTTTAATAGCTCTTTCTCTAAAACAACTCTGGGCATCTACGCTCACTGCATAACGCTTGAAATAATTCTCTTTATGCCTTCGTAGTTATCAGCATAATAACAAACAACATTTATCCACGTACCCAATCTGGTTATTACAGGTTCGGGAGGCAACGAGATACGGGCAGTTGTTGTACAGTACAAACTTTTGTCTTCTTGAATGCGCCTTCACAAAATCTTTTTTCACGCTCGAGATTATTAATATCACATTTAATTATTAATGTTTTGAAAACTCACGTAATTTTTCACAGACCTTATTTAATGCGTGATCTATGCATGTAATGTGAAGCATTTTCGGATAAGAAAAACACTCAACGCCTCTTTCGCTTTTACCATATAAGGTGCTGTATAGTACAAAAAGTATTGAATCCCCGCTGACAATAAGATATACATTGGGTCATTAACTGTTTTGTCAATGATTGTGTGATCAATTTGCCAGTGGCGTGCCGTCATTGGAAGCTATGGAAGCGCCACTTCCCTTGTATTTTCTAAAATATAAATATATATTGCGCGATTGTTTTCATATTTGAACGTATTTTGAATTTCTTAAAATTAATATTTTTTATAACCTCATTATGTATTGTATTACAGATTTATACGTGAAATCTGTAATAAAACCTCCCTAAAAAATTTCAGAAATTTTCGACAAAAGGTACAAGAGTTATGAAGCTTCAGCGAGGCTCACGCACATTCACACAGAAACGCGCGCGCTTATGCATGCACGCGCACACTAACATCAATACATGCAGAAAAACCCAAGAATTTTTTTCAATGTTACAAGGTCTTAAGTGTCCTCCCCAAGATTTTTACATTTTTAATGTAAAAATCTTGGGGAGGTCAATTTGATCGATTGCCGTACTTTCCCTCTGTTATATAACAGCATGTCAGAGCAAGACCTGGAGCATTCTGTAACTCTGACCATAAGCTACTAAAAGCGGAAGTAATATTAAAACTCCATACAACAAAGATAGCAAAGATCAACCCAAGACTTGAGACTCCAGCTAGTTCAATCTTACAACAGACTCTCCGAAATTTAGAGCCTCCATCCTTTAGAAACCGAGATGATTTATGGACACAAACAAAAAAGTGGATTTTAACTGAAATACAACAATGCACCACACAACATCGGCCACAGAAAAAGAAACGTTGGATAACAAATAGTGCCTTTGAATTAATAGATGAAAAGAAAAAATTATTAACTTCAGCAATCGTTGCAGATGAAACGAAGAAAGAGCTAAACAAAAAAATTAAAATGGCTTGTAAGAAAGACAAAAATGATTATATCGACAGTATACGCGATGAAATTGAGATCCATGCAAATAATAATCAGACTCGTGAACTATACGATAAAGTTAGATATTTAGCAAAATTGTTCAAACCACACACACAAATAATTAAAAATGAAATCATAAGTGATGCGGAAGGGATTGCGGATGTCTGGAGGAAATATTGTGAAAAACTTTATAAAGACACTGGACAAACAAATGGTAATAATCAACTTCAGAATGGCTGGACGGGAAATTGAACAATCTATTCTTAAATCAGAGATAAAAAAAAAAGCTTTAAATACATTAAGAAATCACAAATCTCCGGGACCTGACAACATAACCTTCGAAATTTTAAAAGCAATGGAAGAACTGGATGTTGATATTTCAAAAAAATCTGATCCTTAATTTGAAAACCTGAGATGACCAGAAGATGGTGTAAATCAATATTTATTCAAATTTTTAAAAAAGGTGCACCAACAGATTGTAGTAACTACAGAACTATCAGCCTAATTAACCATGCCATTAAAGTAATGCTCAAAATAATTAATAACCGTTGAAACCTTTCCTATTACCTGAAATAACTAAAGAACAATCGGATTTATCCCTGGTAAAGGAACTCGTGAACAAATCTTGAACGTTCGAAAATCATTGAAAAAGCCTATGAATTTAATGTCAAAGCTTACCTTTGTTTCGTAGACTACACCAGAGCCTTTGATTGTATAAAATTACACAAATTGTGCCCCGCTCTCTTTAATACTTATTCTGAAATAATGATGAGAAGGATATTACATAACTGAGACGGAGGCATTTCCGTCGAGGGTCGTAAAGTAAACAACCTCAGATACGCTGACGATACACTTATTACACTTATTATAGAATCCAGTGAATCAGAACTTGAATATACAGTAGAGCATCGATTATCCGACCCCCGATTAACCGTCACCTCGGTTAACCGATCGCGTTCTAGTCGGCAAATTTCAAATGTCCGCTAGTGATGTGGCGCTACAACATTTGGCTATGTCTTGGCTACTTTAATATTATTTTTACGTGTTTTAGCTGACAACATTGGAGGGCGCTAAACGGCTTAGTCAATGGATGCAGGAAAAGTTTGCTCTGTATTCGAATTGAGTTTTTGCTGGAATTTTTACTTGTAAGCTCTAAGTGTTATATATTTCTGGATAGCATTTTCCGTATGGATTAAGAATCTGTTAAGTTTTTCAACGTACGACAATTTTTCGCGAAGTTATTAGTTTTTGAAAACTGAATACTTTTAAAATTTTCAACATTCTTCTACAACGACTGTCGCCATAGTAACGGTCCATAGAAGATTCCAGAATTTTTACCGGAAGTCGTATGTTCTTTCTTCATATTATTATTTTTTTTGGAAATTATTAATTTTAGAAGTCATTATACTCAGTGATGGCTATTGAAGAATTTCTGGAGGAATCTGAGGAAGCCATTGAGGATTTAAAGAGATATTTCCGTAATAACCCAAAAGGGCGATTGGGTACCGAGGAACATATTAGATTTATTACAGATAAATTTATTACCTTAGTGAAGAGCGCCGAAGAGGTAATTAGGAAAAATTCCATATCAGATTTCCTGCTTCAGAAATTTGATTTGTTGGCAACGAAAGAGGATGTCAAACAGCTGCTTGTTGCTCAGAGTGACAAAAATTTAGAGGCTATTCAGGAAGTGAAACAGACTATTTGTGACTTAGAAAAACCTCCACTTTTAGGGGTGGAAGGTTCTCAAGGGACTACTGCTCTGTCATATAGAGATATTTTACAACGCGATCTTAATTCTTTGAAGAATACACAGTCTGAAAAGGAGTCCTCGTTACCAACATACACTGTTCTAGTTTACAATGATAATAAAGAGAGCACATCGGAAGAGACTAAGACACTGCTCACTAATTCTTTTGATCAAAGATTGCATAAGGTGCCTGTCAAGCGTATTCGTAAGATTAACAAGGGTGGAATTGCTGTTGATTTTCCTATCAGAGAGGAGGCTGAATACTTTCAGGAACAATTAGACAAAATAGAAGGATTAAAGGCACGAAACGCAAGACGGCGTCTTCCTCTTATGAAAGTGACTTCAGTCCCGAACTCAGTTACCAAAGAGGACCTACTAGAATACCTGCTTGAACAGAATATTTTTTCACAGAAGTACACGATGGAGGAGTTTAAAAAGGTTTTAAACATTCGATTTTCAATCAAACAGAGAAATGACGAGTTTTTATCGTGGGTATTAGAGATGTCACCGGAGGTTAGGGCAATGACTAAAAAACAAGGATATTTTTATGTTCAGTGGAAAACGTGCAAGGTTTATGATTTTTTCCCTGTACGACAGTGCTACAAATGTCTTGCTTTTGGACATTTGGCGGCAAGTTGCCCATCACCGAAGAAAGTTTGTAGCCATTGTGGTGATGATCATTTGTTTAAGACATGTACAAAGAAAAGTGAAAAGCCTAAATGTGCTAATTGTTTGAGGAGTGGCCTAGATAAACATGAACATAACACACTGGATAAGGAGTGTCCACTCTACATTAAAGCAAAAGCCTTATATATTAAGACAGCTGACTACTTACCTTAATAATTATGGAATCCTTTACAGGACACAAATTGTTTAATTCATAGTGCTACCTCTGCTCCTTAGCACAACAACTAATACAAGCAGATCATCACTTCTCTATATACATTTGTGTTTGCTGACTGTAAGAAATATGTAAGCTTCATCATCTTTCTCTGTTTTTGGGTTTAAAGTGTTGGAATTGATACTTACAATTACTAGCTGTGTGGACTTTGTTTTTTTTTTTTTACTTGTACGCATATTATATATGGACTCATGGGATTCTCAAATCTTTGTCTTACAAATTTTCTGCACGGGATAAATTCTGTTAAACACTTTGTCAGAATTATTGTATTTACTGCGACCTTCATTTGCGAAAATATTCCTGCAGATAAGTAATCTGTTATATGCTGCAGCAAGCTGCTGCATATTTTGTTCGGGTCTTTTATTGTCATTGTGTTTTTATTTTTATTTATTTATTTTTTTTTATTTTTCTTTTCACTTTGCTTTGTTCATTAGTGCATACTGTAACTCGGTGGAACTATGTAACGGATATGTTCCTGTAATGCTCACTGCGGGGCAGGACTTTGTACCTTGTTTTAAATGTACAATTAAACTAATGAATGAAATGAAATGAAATGACAACATTAGATCAACCATGAAAAGGAGCCAGTATTTAAACAAGACTTAATTTTCTAATTTTTAACGATACAATAGCGACGATTATTATTATTTTAAAAAATTTGATAGGCTTAACATGGAGGAAAATTCAACGCGAAGTAGGTTAATAGCGATATAGGGAAAATACGGACAAAATGACATACGGTTTTATTTTAGGTTCATAACTCTTTATTGGTAAATCACAGCACTGTCATATTCTACACCAATCATCTTTGGTTTTTTACCTATGAAATATACTAAACATTTACAATATTAAAATAATAGGAAAAAAATATTGTTAGTTTAATCGAGATCATCCACTATGGACAAAATGACATATACTATGGACAAAATGACACATTA